AGGTGGGTAGAGAAAGTTAAGTGCTTTGCCGGTTTTCTTGTACGCATATACGCCAACTAAGCTTGTATAACCTTTAAACCAACACCCCCAAATATATATATATTTTTTATTTTTTATTTTTCAAATTGTGTGACCCAAGCTAAAGTATAAAATTAGAAAAACGGGATATGACCAAGGGTTCTAGTGGTATCCTTTTTCCAAATTGTGTGATTCAAGCAAAAGTATAAAATTATGGGATTAAAGTGAACTTAAGTCTAAAATGGTTGTTATTGAAGTAAATAAGTCACACTAGGGCCTTATTTAAGAGCAAGCTACTTGTAATTTATGATATCCGATGTTTGAATCGCCTAACTTTTACATTCTTTGCAATATTGATGGAAAATAGAGTTCCAACTCCCTTGAATTGGTCAAAACCTCATTATGAAAAGTGGGATTTGAATTTCTTGTAGTTCTCTAACACTACACTTAAACAAACCATGTAAAGTGGGGATATTTCTTTGATAATTTTGCCCATAAAAGTAGCAAAAAAAAAAAAAAAAAAAAGATATCAATGTGTGAGACATAGAGGGAACCTTGACAGAGAAATTTATATTACCTAACATTCAAGTTTCAACAATGGCCCCCATTCAGCATCATATCTACAGTCTAGTGGAGAAGTAGACTTGTTTTGTAACATTAATTTTAGTAAGAGCGAATATTTGGCTAAGTTTATCATATTTGCAAACTAGACAGTTATATCTGAAACCAACTAAAGTACAAGACAATCTCAGCAGCAGCAAAAAAAAAAAAAAAAAAAAAACTATTTACAGTCTGACTTATGGAACCATCACAAAGGGTCTTTGTCTGATTAGTAGATTAATTAAAGAAAAGGAGTTCTGACTTTTTATCTCAAACGCAAACTAAACAATACGTAATGTTTATCTCACTTAGGGACTAAAACCTTGTTGTGCATTCGCGCTACCCTCCACCACTTGAAAATATGATATAAAAAATACTAGTAAAAAAAAAAAAAAAAAAAAAAGGCCAATCTGCAGTCTCATACTCATGAACCATTAAGATGGCTTAATTACATTTAATTTGCTAGATGATAGGTCTCAAGTTCGAGTCTTATAAAAGAGTTTGAGACTAATTTATAAGTTATTATACACCTTAAAAAAAAAAAAGATTAGATATTGACTCATGATAATAGAAGTAAAATGACACGCTTTGTCTCTGAAATCGATATAAGTAACTATGGCTTAATGTGAACATTTTTCAACATGTGAGACTCCTTTAGTCACACCGAAAAGAGATAATTTTGGCTAATCTCACTATTTCACACGCTTTTTTTTTTTTGCCCCCAAAAAAAAAAAAAAGAACTTGACAATCTCACGGCATAAATTTATAAAAGGCCATGGTCTTGAAACCATGATTTTCCCCACCAAGTCTCTGCATCTGTAAGCAATGGAAACAACATCATACAAACGGTCAAACCTAGCTTGCTGACCTTCTTGGGTTTAGCAGATTTATATTTCAGAGTCAAAGGTTCTTAAGTCCTAGCACCAAGACCCAAGCCCTTTGCCACCTACCAAACTTTGCTGACCCCAAATATTTATAGAGTGTTTGGTATAAGGATTCGTGTTCGAATTATGATTCATAACTCATTACAGTATTTTTTTTTATAAAAAATACATGTAAATTGATAATAATTTTGAACCATAATTCTGAATTTGTGAACCAAACGTCCATTTATTTATTTATTTATATCATTTCCACAGCTTATAATAATATTATTAGTAAAAAATAAAAAAAATAAATAATAATAATAAAAATATACTATTTTTATTATGAGTGGGTGGCAACTTTGGATAGAAGAGGAGCGTCTATTTCTCCTCACTCTTTGCTCTTCCTTTCATATCACAGACTGGAGTGGTCCAGCCTTTCACACGTGAAGACGCTCCTCCCTTCCCTTGCAATTATATTCACGTGTATTATCATACTCTTCATTAATCTTTTTTTTTTTGTTTTTTCCTTATTTTCTTCTTCCTCATTCTTTGGCTTTCTAATTATGGCCCAAAACCCTTTCTCTCCCAAAAATCACTTACAATTATGATAGGGACCTTATTGTATATATATGTAAATGGAGGAAGTAAAAATCTTTTTTGTTTTTTGCCATGGTTATTGCTTTTATCTTTTTCTGCCCAAAACTATCACTCAATTGGAAAGATACCCCTTGAAAAAAAAAAAAAAGGTTTAAAAAAAGTAGGGATTAAATTATTGTCATTTGTCATGTGTGTTTGCTTCCATTAGTTGGTGCAAATTCCCAAGTGATTAAGCTCTGAGTAATCGCAATGACTATGGACAATTTGAAGATATTCTAAGTCGTAGGCAATTACTTAAACTAATTAGCATAATTTTATGTGTTTAAATTAAGAGTTAAGCTGGGAGCATTTAAACCGATCTGAGAATAGATTTCATGTTCGGTGAACTTTGAAACAATGACAGATGATTAATCACAATTAACTATTAAATAAGTACCGTTGTTATGAGGATTAGATCCAAGTGACCTTTGATTAAAATTCATTAGTTACTAAAAAATTAGTGAAAGAATTAAAGGACAAGGCAAAAAGATTAACAAGAAATGAGTAAATAATTATCCATTAAGAGCGTAAGTCGCCATTTATTTGTCATAGTAATATATATTCTCATAACTTTTAACAGCTGTATTATATGTCACTTAACCATTTATATTGACAGGCCAGTTTTTGGATCTTGTGTCCTTAGCCAATTTTTTAAAATTATTAACAATTCTTTCAATTCAGTTTTCCCTCTTAAAGAAATATATTTGGGGCAGAAACTCCTGCCCCAGTAAAAGAGTGTTTCTTCATGCTTATTGGAACCTACATAATAAATTCACTAATAGAAATAGAGACTAAGCAAACCCAATTGTCTAACAAGTCAGAAACATAAAAGGGTGGAGTCTCAATGGCAAATAAAGTTGTATTTATTCTCAAAATCCAAGGTGACCAGAGAATCAGTAAATTAAAAGTATCCTTAACTAAAAAAGAACAAAAAGTTTGTTTAAAATAAAAAGGAGACTAGCACTATATTATCACGTTTGGACCACCACCCAAATTGCAAACGCATGTGTGCGAATATATACATGTACGCGTATACATACATGCTTAATAAAGTCTTTAAGTTTGTGTATTATAGTATACTTGCTTTGAATTTAAGGGGCAATTCATTTTAAACTGTTAAATCACGTCATAATCATATTAGATTAAAAAAAATCATAATTTAACGAAATTTGATGAAAATTTAACTATTTAAAACCGAGTCTATTAATCTTTTTTTTTTTCACTCTACCATACGCAAATATAATAAAATTTTATCTATATATATAATAAAAGCATACCCTTAAGGAATGAAACATATACTTTCAGCATTCTATTAAAATTCATGAAGTTCTCTCATATATGTCTCCAATCTTTTTAAGCAAAACCCATCAATAAATACGCTTATGCCATTTTCATGTTGGTGTAAAAATTGCATTGAAATCAAAACAAAACAAAGCAAACGAAATAAAATGGATAATAATGGAATGCAAAAGCAAGGGACAGTTGGAAACAACAGTGACCTATAACAATGCTAACTGCCAATTTTTCCATTACAATTATATACATGATTTCCCTTAGGGCATATCTAAACAATGATCATTAAATTGTTGAATTGGCTTAAACCAACAAGTGATACTATTTTTGCATAACAGTCCTTTATGCTTGACATAGTTAAAGATTTCCCCCAAACTCTACAACAGGTAACAACTCGGGTTCCGTTCATTTCGTTGATTCGAGTTATGCTACAGTAAAAAATTCTCATAAATAATCACATTTAATTTTTTTACTACAATAAAAAATTCTCACATAAAATTACATCTCAACTCGAATTAAAAATTCGAGTCAACCAACAACCCTCTATTTATTTTTATTTTTATTTTTATTTTTTGAGACAGAAAGAGAAAGAAGTGTAGACGGTGATGATAAAGACTACGACCGAAAATATGAGCCCCCTCTTAATCATATGGGACAAAACTTTACAATCCTACAGCTGTCCAAAGTTTGGGAACACCTAAAAGTAGTACAACACCGTGTATCCAATCATCTCCCACCCTGACTTTTTAAGAAATTAAAAATAATGAGAGAAAATCACCACACACACAGCACAAATATAATACTAATATACTATAATTATGTAAAAGAAAACAAATACGTTGCATTGAAACTTCTTTTCTAAACATGATAATAATATCATAACAATATCTTCTTCTTTTTTTACCCTCTAGAATCTATATAACATCTAATAATTGAGATACTGATCTCACATCCCACTAATGGACTGATGTAATCTTTTAGGTTGCTTTCAGAGTTTGATACTTCATAATTTCATTTTAAGAATTTTGTTTAATCAATGTATTGTACGACGTATGAAAACTTAGCTATTTTTTTGAGTAAAATTGAGTTAAGTTTCGTCCTAATGGTGGGCTCTGAAATTTCTAAAGTGACAAAAAAAAATGAAAGTAGTGCAGATTCTACATAGTCAAAGTGAGTTGTAATGTTCGACACCACTATTTCTATATTAAACAGCATTACTCATTAAAATAACAATTCCACTCGTTAAACATGGCATACATATGCATACGTTCTTTTTCATTATTATTATTATTCTTTATTCTTTTTTTTTTTTTAAGGAAGCATGAAATGTATTATTACTGTTTCCAAAACATTTGCAAAATGTTATGGGACGTGGACCACCTATACATACTGTTATACCGTATTTATAACATGTACGTATACTATGTAATATCGTAACCGCTAATTAACTCCCCCCTCTATATCTCATCCGCTTATTTTGGCGGCACCAAAAACGCTGCTACTTTCCCTCAACTTCTCACTCCCCAGATTCTACTCTATCTTTCCCTCTCCTTCTCTCTCTAGAATTTTGCTATTGCTAAAATCTCTCTCTCAGCGATTTAGCAGTTTAATTCCTCTAATACCCATATGCTGTTTTGCAAAGATTTCCATTTTTCTTCCTCATAGATGATGGATTAACAAGAATTGTAATGGGAGACTCCGAGACCAATCCGTTCTGTTTCTCTAGCCTCTTGTGCCAAGAAGATCACGAGTCTTGTTTTACCGAACAAGAAGAAGATGAAGAAAACACATATTGTTATAACACTAATGATAATAATAAGCCATTTTTTGTCTCCGAAGATGATGAAGAATTTGTACAAACCATGTTCAAGAGAGAAGAAGAAGAAAAAGCTTTTTTCGGATCCAAAGCCTCTTCTTCTCCTTCTTTAGCTTCGGATGATTGGAACAGTTCCAGTATAAGAACCCAAAGCTGGTTCAAATCTGCTCGCTTGAAGGCTTTGGAATGGATTTACAATGTTTGTTTCTCTATTTCTTGGTTGTCTTTTTTTTTTTTTTTCCTTCCAAATTTTTGTTTGCTTTGGTTCTGAAAAGTTTGCTCATTTTGTGATGTGAATCAGACAAGAGCACAATTTGGTTTCCACTTCAAAACAGCTTATCTTTCCGTCACTTACTTTGATCGGTTTCTCTCTAAACGATACATTGATGTAAGTCAATACTAAATAATAAACTAATTGGTTCCCAAGTTTTTTTTTTTTTTTTTTTCTTTTCAGTTTTTGTGATGGTAATTCTTGAATGTTGATATTTGTTGTTAGCAGAGTGGGAAGATGTGGGCTATTCGGTTATTATCCGTTGCCTGTTTATCGTTGGCGGCGAAAATGGAGGAATGCAATGTGCCAATGTTATCAGAATTTCGAGTCCAAGATTATAACTTTGAGAGCAAGGTGATTAAGAGAATGGAGCTATTGGTTTTAAGTGCCTTGGAATGGAAAATGGGGTCAATTACCCCTTTTGCTTATCTGAATTACTTCACCAATAAGTTCGGCGGCGAAAATTCGCAACGATTAGTAGTCTCTACTGCTGTGGAACTGATTCTGGCCATGATAGAAGGTAGCCAATTTGATTATATTTGCTAATTAAATCATTTTTTTTTTCTTTTTGGGTTAGTAGATTATATCTTTGTTAATCAATCTGTTTTCTTTGGTGTAGAGACTAATTTGATCGATATCCGACCGTCTATTATCGCTGCTTCTGCAGTATTAGTAGCTTCTGATGGCCAATTAACAGGAAAGACAATGGAGCTTAAGATGAATGTCATCTCATTCTGGCGATCAGAAGACAAAGTGAGTTTTTTTTTTTTTGCCCTTGTTATTATTATTCATTTGTTGCTTGAAAAGTTGACTACATTGAACTCAAACCATCATTGCAAGAAGAGAGCTTCCATACTTGTTATTATTCATTTACTTTCCAAGTTTTTACCTTTACTTTCCTAGTATAAATGGGGTTGACATAAGATATTTAACTTTTTTTTCCCCTCTTTCAAATTTGATTCACAACAGGAAGATATGTATTCCTGTTGTAATCTTTTCCAGGAAATAGAAAAAAGAAAAGTAAAGACACCATCAGAATTCTCATTTTCTTGGAAGAATTCATCCTTCAACTCTACTGAAAGCACCAAGAGAAGGCTTTCTTTCAATGAGCGTGATCATCAAACTAGCCCGGTAAAGAAAGTTCATCGGACATAAGAGGAAAAGATTTGTTCTTCTACAACAAAGATATATTGGGTTTTTAATAGTCTTGATTAGATTACAGGTTTCTTTTTCTTTTCCTTTTTTTCCATTGAAAATGATTTTTGGTACTAGGTGGATTTATAGTTTTAATCAGGGTTCATCACCACATGGCATGATTTGCAAAAAAATTGATGATAGGGGGTTACAATTTCCAATACAAACAAAAGTTTTCAGCCAGTGACAAAAGAAAAAAAAGAGGGTAGAAAAAAAAAGTGAGTGTGTGTAAATAAAAAGGGGATAACTTTAGCCTACAGTAAAGAAGTGAGAAGCTGACTGAAGTCTAAAGGCCATTATGTGAGTGAAGGCCAAGAGTGAGCCAGAAGGCCATTGACGACTTGTTTGTCTATATTGAGTGTTTAGTAGTATTTGCTTTCACAAATGCCACTTTCTTTTCTCTTCTTTTTAATATTTGTTTTATTCCTTTGTTTTTTTAATTATTATTACCACTTTCATGTAAGGAAGAGAGAACATTTTATTAGTCATGTATACATCACTTGCATTAACCCCCTACCTTTTGATGTGGGGAGGCTTGGGATGCTTCCTATGTGTCTTTCAAAAGGCTGAAAGCCATGAGGAATGAGGAATTTGTTTTAGTTTGATTTGATGTATCTGTGTTGCATTTGGTTGGGCCATTGAAAAGTATATAAAGTTGAACATGATTTTATTTTGCTGGGAATGTTGGAGTTTCAACTTTTCATGAGTGGGGTTGCTTCCCCTTTTCACTGTTAATGTTGCACTTTGAAAGGAGTTCATCAAACCACACTAAATATTGACAAAGAAAGAAGAGTGCTCCATTACTGCTGCTTAGGTGTTGCACCAGAAAAAGTGGATTCATTTTTTCCCACACTACTCATATTCTCCTAAATATCTAACTCCCACCTACTTACGACACTCTAATAGATAACTACATTCAGTAACCCGAATATCATTGCTATTAAAGGTAGTATGAATACATTGGTTGGACAGGAAATAAGAAAGAAAAATAGACGACACCCCAATGTCATTGTTATTAGAGGTAATATGAATACATTGGTTTGACAGGAAATTAGATACAAGAGTATTCGAGTTTCGGAATCTATTCTTCAAGTTAGCAAAACTGAAAGCATAATCAATTTAGGGCAATGTTTTGAAATGAGGTTAGCGATGATATTTGCATACACTCGGAGAAATTGTAGGACCCAAAACTATCATGATGGATCTAGCGACCCTTGTTCTGGGGTGGGGGGGTGGGATTCATGGCAAAATGGTGTCAGAAGGCTTTACCCTTCCACATGCCTTCTTAGGGGGTTTCATATCCAGTCTGGCATTATATGGTACAATCCATTTTTTTCAGTCAGTGGTAAGGCAATTACCATGCTGCCAACTCTTAATAACAAAACAGTCTCCCTATTTTATCTCTTATGTATGGCCTATTCTGCAGTGTTCCCTAGTTTAATATGTGTGTGTGTGTGTGTATATATATGTGTATATATATATATAAAAATATATGTACATATATGTGTGTCTGTGTATGAGAACATTGACCAGAGAGACAGATTGACTTGTCGAATACCATAATGTCGACAAGACTTTTAACAGAAATATTAGGAGGAAAGAGTTTTACTATGATCATTGGACGTGAATTTTATAATTCTAAAACTATATATGCTTGCATATTGCAGTTATTGCATTAGATCATTGGTCTTCTCTATTTACTTTGTGGGGGTGTGGTTTGTATTTGTTTAAGATGGAGATTAATGCTTCACTAAACTATTAGAGTTACAGATTATAAGAGAAGCCAAGGCTGCATATTATTAGTTCAGATTCATTAAAATAATATGCCTTAATTTATACTCCTCTGGAAATATTAGTATACTTAAGTCGAACAGAAGTCATAATTGTTTCAAGGAAAATTAAACAGCTACATTTTGATAAGTGATTTTCTAGCAAATTATGATTCTCATTTCTCAGAACCAACAAAGAGAAACTCCTCTGCAGATGCCAAAAGAGCTGCAACATAAGCATCTACTAAGAGTATCACGTTATGGAATTTCTTTTTGGATGCACTGTGGACCCAAATCTTAATCACTAAATATTAGAAAGAAACGACCTCAACCGTTCAATAAAAGGTTTTCAGCTTTTAGCAGAAAAATTTTAGTGACTCTGAATTATTTTCTTTTATCTTAACCGTTGAAACTGAGATGCATGGTGCATCTAAAAAGATGGAATGTAACATTTCTTCATTTTTTTTCCAACTCTTTTTAATATTCTTTTTCTTCATGTTTTAAAATTCCAAATAATAATCAGTCTCAGTTTGCATTTCTCACTTTTGGTATCTGATTACCGTTCAGTTTTTCACCCTTTTTCATTTAGGATAGTTCATTTTTCACTTTTATAATCTGATAGTTGATGGGAAATGTTGATCTTATCTTGCTGTTGATTAAATACGTTACTAGAATTGTTATCAATGCAATTAGAAATGGTGGTTTGATGAGAAGTAAGAGTACACTTAGAGTTCTCTGCTACTTAGCAAAATGATTATTGTCATACGTGAAATTTTTGGCATATTTTGTAAGCTCACGTAATTTTCATTAATAAGTTTCAAAAATTTTCCTGATTCTTGGATTCTCATGGATATGGATGGACCACAGTTTATATCCACATCAAACAGATATATTACTTGTAGATTTATGCTGCGAGAAACAATATTTCCCTTCTTTTGAGAGAAAATGACTATTTAAAGTGATTTTTAGCTATTAGGAAAAACGATGGAAAAAAAATATGAACCTTAGAGAGTCCTATCTTCAAAGAAACCAAAAAGTTACTTTGGCCGTGGAGTGGCATCATATTTATTGTATTCATGTATGATAAATCTCCATCAATCCATTTAGGAGTCATCAGAACCGTGGAATGTGGCATGATATTCATCACTCCATACTCCATGCAACCTATGCTATTCTTCTTTCGTAACTTAGATAGATAGATAAATGGTTTACTGATTTGAGTTTTGATACACTAAAAAGCTCTGAAAAACAGTCACATATAATTTTTTTGTTAATGTAAAAAGTTTTCACATAAAGTCACATATTAACTCAAATTAAAAACTCAAATCAGCGAACTAAATGGGCCTTAGATGTTTCAATTATTTTTTTGTTGGTTTTTAATTTAATATGTATAAATTAAATATTAGGGGATGTAATTCTAAAAAAATATATATATTAGGGGGTGTACAATGGTTGATCTGGGCCTTTTTTGAACAGTTTAATCAATTTTGTCAAGCACAAGACTAACCGACTATAAAATGATTAGCGGTTTTCAATTACTTATACCTTCATAATTTGAACTTTGAAGTTGGAGTGTAAATATTTGATCTGATGCCCTTGAGCATTCAATTTAAGTAATTTGATATTATTCCAATATTTATTTATAAATGAGTATTATTGTTTTCACCATAAAATATTGATTCAACAGTTAAAATAAGTTGATAGTTGATGAAAAAATTAATGATGATTAATGAAATTGGATTCTCCACGTCATCAAGTTTATATATTTGATGAGTACTACTATAAAAATGTAACCATTAAAAACTTAGCTGCATATATATTTGCAATTAAAGTTGACTTTTATTTAATATGTTATAGACATTCTAGAGAGATGAAAGTAGGTTGTTAGAGCAAATACAAATTGTCTAAAATTATGACATACTCTGTATCTTAATAATATATTTTGAAATACCAAAAAGTACGTATTGTACAGTGTTTAAAATTTCTTCTCTCACAAAGTTCCCACCAATAAATCTAAATTAGAATTTGAGTATACTTTCTAAACGAGTCTAAAGATTTCACTTCTTTCTCTCTACTAGTTGCTTGTGTTGCGACAAACTTATTGACTAACAATACAAAAGAAATAAAAATAAAATAAAATAAAAAATACACACTACGCTATATTCATTCCTTTAAAAATTTAAAAGAAAATAAATAAATACATTAAAAAATTTAGACGACGACCATTTGATACCCATCGATCACTAGTGATTGGTGCTACATTGTGAGGAAGGCATACCCATTTACCCAGCGACCAGATTTGCCCCTATAATTGTAAGTTTAGGCTGGGTTAAACGGACCAGCCTGATGTTCAACACTGTTAGCCTTGGTTTGGCCTGGCCCTAACTCTCGGTACAGGTCAGGTTTAGGTTTCAAGCTCGAAACCTTATTCGGGTCGGCCCGACTTGAACACATCTTTTTTTTATTTTCTTAAAAATACCTTGTAAAGTTCAGACCGGGCCAAGCCGACCCTCCTTCTTTTAGGGCTGACCCGGCCCGACCTGGTGAAAATAATGGGTAGGGCTAGCCCCACCCCAAAATTCCCATCCGGATCGTCAGGCTCGTGCCGGATACTCCGAACTTTCACCTCTACTCGCCCATAGCTTATGGTTAATTTCTTGATAAAAGAGAGATTCTTTTCAAAGCTGAGTATTTAAAAGTTATAAATCATTTTTGTTTTACTATAATGCTTTTAATAGTGAGAAAATATACTTATAATAGTAAGATTTTAAGGATGGTCATGTATTTTCATTATTTAAATTCAAATTTTTAATAGTTTTTTACCATTGGAGAGATTTTTATGTATATTGTAAAACTAAAGATTTATTTGTGAAATAAGGTATTTTACACATTTACCTCTGAATTTGTAAGGTTTTAATAATTTTCTCCTAAACTTTTAATTTTAGTACATTGCCTTCTCAACTTGTAAAATTCTTACAAAGTGCCCCATTTTAACGATGATTGTGTTAAATTAATGAATAAAAAGTAGGTTCGATAATTCAAACATCTCAATTCAAATATAACACAAATATTTTAATTTTTTAACTTTTAATCCTCTAAATCTAATAAAAAATTTGAGCAAATAATTTGAAATATTTAGGGCATAAGTTAGGGGGCGCAAAAAAAAAAAGGTTGGGGCCACGACTGTATCAAATTGGCGTTTAGGGGCGAAATTGTACAACTACAATATTTACGAGGGATATAGTGCGATTATTACAAAACAAAACCTCGCGCTAAAAATGTCTCTTCAAATTTCTCTTCAATATATTAAAGTGACGAGCATGTCTTTAATTTGGAAAAACACAGACTAATGGTATCTGAAAAAACATTCGAATCTATAGAATTTGACTTTCAAAACTTTTGCCTTCAGCGTCACAATATCTCACAGCCCGTGACGGTACCATTTCCCGTTGAAAGGAGCTGCCTCCTGTTTTCCCTCCCGTTTCGAAACCAAATAACACACACACACAACAAAAATAAAATAAAATAAAAAGTTTCAAAAAATCACCATTTCTGAAAAGAGATGGAGAAGCAACTTCGATTAAGCCTCCAATCCTCAGCCGAAGAATTCCTTTTATCCGCCACGAAATTTCCTCTCAAATCATCAAGATATGCTCTGAAAACCCTAATTCACCACATCGACGCCTCCTCCGACCTCTCCTCCTCCCTCCCCCTCTCTCTCCTCCGCTCCATTTCTCTCTCTATCCCCTCCTTCCACAACCCTACCTTGCCGGGATCGCCGCCGACCAAGCGCAACCGGAGATCCTCCCGGCTCTCCAATCGCGAGCCTTCCCGAGACCGAGACGACGACGAGAAGCGGAGGATCAGTCAGAGCCTCCAGGTCTTCGCTTATGTCACGCGGTTGTGCGTTTCGCACCCGAGGAATGTCTTTTCGGCGGCGGATTTGCTCGCCGGAGCCCAGTTGCTGCACGATAACCTGATCAGTTTCGAGTCGGACCCGGCGTTGTCGTCGGAGATCGCGAATTTGTGCGAGCAGTGGTGGAAGGAGGATCTTCCAGGGAGAGAATCGCTGATTTCTCAGTCCCTTCCTTTTTTCCTCTCGAGGTCGTTGACGTCGACGACGAAGCAGGATGTGCACAGAGTCTACGCCCTCCGCGGGGCCTTCGCTTTGTTTGATTTCGAGGACGAGAGCATTGAAGACCTCACGCTGTTGATAATCCGGTGCGTGGTCGCGCCGTTGTACATGAAGATGGAGGAAGGTCGGCGATTTGTGGCTTTCGCGTTCGGACTGAGCGGTCAGCTGCTGAAGGAGTTGCTGGCGATGATTCGGTCTCAAATACCGTTGGGAGGAAAATCGTTGCTTGAAGCTTATGGCGACGTCTTGTTTCGCGCTTGGAAGGTAGCCGACGAAAACTCCATAGACCAGATAGAGAATCGGTTTTTGCAGGAGTTGATTGATGGTGCCATCCATGCGAGAACAGAATCGCTGGCTGCTTCTGTTAGGAGGGTTTTAGGAGCGTTTATTAACCAGCGGACCACCATTGGCGTTGAGAAGCTCCTTTTCAGGATTTCTGAACCACTGATATTTCGGTCTCTACAGGTATTCGTTTTTTCTTGTTTGTCCGTTGATTAAAAACTATTCTTTAACTACGAAGCTTGGGATGATTGATTCATCTCTTGGAGAAAAAGAGTGGAAGAAAAGTATGATTCCTTTAAATTAGAGCAGCATCTATGAAGTATGAATTCATTATTGTCAGGCGGTCAGTAATTGTAGTTTCGATAAAGTTTCCTTTACGTTTAGTTCGTCACGTTTAGTTCGTCGATTCGAGTTTTCAATTTGAACTGAAATGTGACTTTATGTGAGGGTTTTTAACTATAACAGAAAAAGTTAGATGTAACTTTTTGTAAGAGTTTTTAATTTTAATAAAACTGAAATTAAAAACTTGAATCGGTAAACTAAACGAAACCGTGCCACCTTGTGGCTCCGTGAGCTAGCCCTCTGGGCCTTGCTGCCTAGATGCCTTGGGCCTAAAGAGAGTCTCGATAAAGGGATCCATTTGCTAAGTGAGCCAATGCAAAGTGTGCATGCGATTACGAGGGTGCCATGCGTCTCCATAAGTCAAGATGTCTTGTGGACAGTATTGGCCTATGGGGCCAATATTGCGGAGGCCTTACAGCGAGGAGGTTCAGCCATGTGCTTTTGGTCCGCGTGCGGAATCCCCCATGCGAGGCACACGGTGAGACATCTAAGGGCCCCGTGGTGCATCCTAGGCACATGAGGAGCCCAACGTGAATTGGCTCAAGGGTCGACCACACTCACGGGACTCGATAGTCAGCAAGACACGAAGGGAATGTAGGATACATGACCCGAGCGGCCTAGTTTGGGGCTGCAAAGTTGGAAATGAGTTGCTTGGACAAGATGCTTGCGCGTTTGGAGCTTGTTGGCCTAGGGGCTCGGCCTAAGGACTTGGGGGATCCTTAGGGCCGTGGTGCACAAGAGATGCGCTAAGGATCGAGACAGATTAGCTTAAAGACATATCAGTTGGCCTTGGGCCAAGATGTCATAGGTTGGCTAGTGTTGGAGGCGCTAGGCCTCAGCACATGAATGCAGCCATGCTGCTCATATGTGAGAGTTAGTTGTGAGCGATGCTCGTAGGTGTGAATCGGGATGCATGCACGCAAGAGCGCTTCAGCTTGGAAGATGGCTTGATTATGAGGAAGGCTGGCCTTGACTCGAGGAGTCTTGGCACTGCACGGTCCTATTCCGTAACCTTAAAATCCCAGACCGTGACAGTCTTCTCAGTAGTTCTCCTATCAGCTTAGTTAAGGAGACATGGCTAATAACAAGTTTAAAGCATCAAATGCAATTTCCGGGCTCGGTCAAGTCATGTCCATTGAAATGCTTCTTGCTTTGTCAAACAATTTAGCGGGATAAAATGCCATTTTGTCACTTTGTGTTAGTGTATGTGTATGAGTGCACTTATCAATGCCTATCTATTGTACTTTCAACTTTCAAGTTTATTAAACCAATCAATATTCTAGCAAAGAGGATCGATCTTAATCTCAAAATTCGTCTTGATTGCGAGAAGTTACACGATAATGTTCTGTTTATTTCAATTGCAGGTTGCAAACTCAAATGTTCGTCAAAATGCACTGCATTTGCTTCTGGACTTGTTCCCACTTGAAGATCCTGATTCCACGAAAGAGGTTAAAGATACATTGCTTGGTAAACAATTTTATTTGTTGGAGAAATTGCTTGTGGATGACTGTCCGGCTATAAGGGTTGTTGCAGTGGAAGGTTCTTGTCGCATCCTTCATTTATTTTGGGAAATCATCCCATCACAAACCATCACAAGGATGTTAACAAAAAATTTTAATGACATGTCTCATGATATGTCTAATGAAGTCAGGCTTTCTACATTGACCGGCGTTATATATTTACTCGGCAATCCACAATCTCATGAAATTCTTAAAGTGCTTCTACCCAGATTGAGGCATTTGATACTCGATAATGTCCTTTCAATACGAAGAGCTATGATGGATCTCCTCCTTGCCATACGGGATATTCAGAATTTCCAGTTTAATAAGGTATAGAAAGTTCCAAAGTTACACTCTCTATCATCATATCTTTCTATCTCTCTTATTGTTGCCTTGGTTGATGGGTTTTTTGTTTTTTTTGTTTTTTTGTTTATTTCATTTCTTACACAGGTGGTGGAGTTAGATGTGTTATTAGACGCACTTGCAAATGATCAACCTGAAATTGCTCAGAAAATTACAAGACTGCTTATGCCTTCTTATTTTCCTTCTAAGGCACCCACTGAGGAGGCTTGTAACCGCTGTCTTGCGCTTATAAAAAGGTCTCCAATGGCTGGAGCAAGGTTCTGTGAGTTCTCTGTGTTAGAAGGGGCATCTCTTAAGTCCCAAACAGAGCTTGTCAAAGCACTCATTAATTCGGCTGTGTCTCTTGATAAGTTGCATGGCAATCACGTTGATGGTTTACTTCTTGCTGCTGCCAACCTTTGCTGTGCGCTTGCCAGCGAGCCAAATTACAAGAGTGCTCTTAAAGAATTCTTTGTTGGCGAAAAGTTAAAATGTTTGTTTGCTAGGGCATCTACTAGGCATGCTCAGTCTTCCATATTCAAAATTGCATCCACCATATCTATCAAGGAGATTGCTGCGCTTCTTGATGGATGCATGGCTTTCATCACAAATTGTACTGGTTTATCTGGAGATGTAGAAAGGCAAGCTGAAGTGAGGTCCGCCCACCATTTATTGCTCTCCTGTGGCAAGCTTGATTGTATGTTTGAAGTCCTAACTTCACTTCTACAGAGAACTGTTGATAATTGTCAGATTCAATATGGTATTGAAGTACCAAAACAGGGTGTTTCTTCTGCTAAAAGAAAAGATAGCAAGTCCTCTAGCAAAATTTCAGCTAAATGGAAACAAGTTGGTGGAAAAAAGGCATCCAATTTTGAGGAGGACTATTCGGTTTGTGTAGGAATAGCCTGGCAAATTAAAGACTTGCTTAAGTTGGAGGATACTAGGAAGGCTATATTGGAATCCCAACATCTGGAATCACTATTGATGGCTTTAAAGGTTATCTCTGAGGTCAGCATTTTGCAGTCTTTGCATTGTGAATGTATAGACATCTCTCCAGTTTTGGCATATACAACTCTATCTTTGCACATGACTCTGGAAAATGTTAGTATAAGTGGTTCAAAAGATTGCAGTAGCAAGAGGAATGATGTGCCTGATTCTTCAGGATCAAACTCGAATGTAAGTGGTATTTCTCATAATTCTTTTCAACATAAATTCTTTGTTTATTCCTTCATGAGGTTAATTTAACAATAGATCTTGCATTTTAAATAATATAATGACGGATCTTACATTTGTTAGCTATTTGTTCTACAAGAAGATATGAATCTTATCTTATATGGAACTATGTTTCTCATGGTACTCTTTGTTTTTCTAAATCTATGCATTTTGAAAAAAAAATTGGAGAGCAATATATTGTATTGTACATTATACTCGGTGTAGCCGACAATCATGATCCCATATTCTTAATGACTTACAAATGAAATATCTCTAATTTTTCGTTGCTCTTAAACCTGTCTGGCTGGAAGTCAAGTAGACAATTCCTTGTGGTACTATTAACATCAGTAAATAATCAGTCAAATTTTTATTGGTTAGTGCATCACAGTAAGTGTTAATCAAAATCCTTAAGATCAAAGTGATGAATTTAAGCATTGCATTTCTGCATCTGTGTCCTGTGAGTGAAAATCATACAGATCTTTTGTCGTCAATCTGCTTGAACTTTTGCTATCCTGATTACTATGTACCTCTTTATGCTAACAACTACCAATTTTATTCTCTGTTCAGCAGACAGTTTTGGAACAGACACTGGTTCACATGCTCAACTGTTCAGAGAAACTATATGGAGCAGGTGACTCTAAAAAATCTGGGAAACCACAGTCAGAGTCTAAGCATTCTAAAAATACTCGTAGACCAAGGCTGAAGGAGCATAAAACAGATGCCACTGGTCAAAGTGATGCTGGTAAGTGTGAAGAAGTGACAAACGTACAACCCCATAATGCGTTTGCTTTATATTTCATTGAATGATGCTCCGAACACTTTTAATAGTACACTCACGCAAATTTTAAGTGAAATTTTGTCACCAGTGAATAATACTTGCGGTGCATTTATGCAGGGTTTGTTATGACTGAACCAAAACGGTTGTCAAATAAGGTGACAATGCTTACCACAGTTCTCCAATTCATGACTGATGCCACTATTATGGGTTTTATTTTTCATAATCACGAGTGGGGCTTAAAGTTCACGTCAGACTATTTTCGACATGTTGTATCCACTTTAAGGCAACAGCCTAATAACAGAGTTCATTTTGAAGATGAAGAAGTGAAGGATACGATTCTGTGTCTGAAGAGCTCTTTCACCTACGCAGCAAAATTACTCAGTTTAGCTTTAAAAGAGACCACAGAAGATTCTCCACCTCAAGCACAAGCTTTCGTTCTCGCTAACGATATGCTTGATATGATCACGTCAGTTGAACTATACTTGGGCACCAGTAACGCTGCGCGGCTTATGGCAGCAGTCAAGCCTTGGCTACCTGATTTGGTTTTGGCATTGGGATCTGGGCACATGAAACAGACTCGGGGAGAACTAGAACAGAATTCTTCAACTGATTACATCAGGCGTTATTTCCCATCATGGCTTTTGGTTTTATCAAAGACCGAGCTATCTGAGCTGAGCAAAATTGGCCTTGAAGAGGATGATGAAAGAGCTTCAGGACTAGAAGAATTTCCTGCTTTTAGGAAACTTATGGAATCGATTCTCCTGTTGGTGAAGAGAAATACCATTGTACTTGATGCTGTCGGCCAAATTTTCTTGATTGGCTCCCTAGTTGGGTTGGAAGGGAAGGACTACAGATTAGTTTTAGGACTTCTACACTTTGTATGCGTGAAGTTATTCAGACACGATTGCAGAGAGAGTGAGACATTGTTGGCTTTTCTGCAAGAAATCTATCCTCAGCTGGAGAGACATATAGAAGAAGAAAGTGATGAAGATGCAAGGCAAATATTAGAGAGTGCAAGGACATTGCTCGAACCATTTTGGAGTAAAACAGAGAACTTATTTTCTGAGGCAGACGATTAGAGTCAATAGATGACACACATCAGGCAAGTAAGGTGGATCAATCGATGATTGTTTGCTAAATCTTTTATCTTTTATCAAAAAAAAAAAAAAGAAAGTATCAGGAGAGAAAATGTGCATAGTTTTACTGACAAAACTGAATGATGTTTGTCTTGCAATGCTAACTGAAGTAGCCAAATTTGAATTTTGATGATAATTAGAAAAGTTGGTCCTCTCGGAGAGCGTGATAACTGTTATTTTCAGTTTCACTTGAAGTAGAATTGTAAATTAGAATTAGTCTTTGAGCCTCTTGTGTTTGGTCCAAATTAATATTGCCTATTTATTTAAACTAATATTATTAACTTGAAAATAATTATCATATGGACGGTGTATTCTCCAAAAAATGCTGATAAATGGACAGGTCTTTTAAGATGTGGCTTACTCAGATGTTAATTCCAACATTTAGTAGAAATAGAGCAGTTACAGGTCAAATAGTAGAAGACAATAAAAATATTCCATTACTAGAAATAGAATATTTACATGTCAGTTGAGTATAATACAACCAAAAAAGAGAATACAATTCCAAAAGGAAAGTGGTTACATGTCGATGAGATTGACTAGAGAAAGGAAAACAAGTTCATTTACAGGACAACTTGTCGAAAATTTGGACTTTGAACATGCTAAACATACCTGAAAGTTTACCATTTTTCTAAGCATATTAATGGCTAGGACGAATGAGAGATTTTAAACATTCAAATTCTCTTCCTCGGTGCTGGCCATAGTTATGTCTAACTATCTCTATCTCTAAGAACGCAAGAAATGAATGTAAATTCAAGAAATTGCATCCAACTTCTGGTTCAAACAGGGATCATCTTCAAACCAGCAGCAACAGGCATACCCAAAAACCCAACGAAAACACTTAGAAACCACTGTGAAAAGGTGAGGGGAGAAGTGTTGGCAAATGTTCCAAGGAACTCGATGATTATGATCTGAAAGATGACGGTGCATGTAAGGACCCCCACGAACACATAGTTGTCCAGTATGCCCTTGAAAACGTTTATTTCCTCCATTTCACGTGAGCTTATCTCATTAAAAACCTGAAAACAAAGAAGGAAAAAAAGGTCACCTTCTGTAAAAAAAAGAGATTCAACATCATCAAAATGAGAGAGAAGTAATTGAGAAAAGAGTTTTTACCTGGCAAAAGACGAATGAGTTGAAAATAAGTGTGTTAAGGATGAGATCAGAATCTGGGCCAACAAGACCAAATATTGCTTTCCCTCTTGCCTGAAGAAACCATATTATCAGAAACTGATACAAAGATTGCCCAAGGATGTTCCTCCACATGACATTACTAATGAAGTTTCCTTTCCTTCCGACGGGAGAACGCTTCATTAATTCATCGGTCGGAGGCTCAGTCGCAAGGGCGAGAGCTCCAAGTGTGTCCATTATCATGTTCACCCACAATAGCTGAACAGCTGTAAGAGGCGCACTCCCTGGAGTAGGGTTCAATGCACAAAACAAAGTAGTTAGAAATAGAGGGAAAATGACTTCTTTGATGAAAGAAAATCGATGAAAGTTCAAAAATTAAGTGGATGAGTTTAGCTTTCTAACCTGTTAAACAAGCTGAAGTGAAGTTCACAATCAAAGCAACAACATTAACTGTCAACTGGAATTGTACAAATTTCTGGATATTTATATAAACTGAACGTCCCCATTTGGCAACGGTCGCAATTGTGGTGAAATTGTCATCCAGGATTATGACATCTGCACTCTCTTTAGCCACCTGCAAGTACAAAGAGTGTTTAGTTTTGGCTTTTCACATTGACGTTGTCGCTTCTTTTTCGATAATAGTACAGTAAAGTTTCACACTTGCAAATTAGTATTCGACCCACCTCAGTTCCAGCAATGCCCATAGCTAATCCAATATCTGCCTCATGGAGTGCTGGGGCATCATTTGTTCCATCACCAGTTACAGCAACAACTTCATTAAATGTGGTCCTCAAGTGTTTCACCAGTGTGTGCTTATCTAGAGGCGAAGACCGAGCCATCACCTACAGAGGAAGGGAAAATTCTAAGTCAGTAATTAGATTGTGATAATCATTATAAATCAAATGGATTCACAAGGATGTTGCAGAATGAAAATAGCACCTGAATCTTTGGAATTAGTTCAACCAATTCCTCCCCTGTCTTCTCTCTAAATTCTGGACCTTCAATGGCAATACCATCATCTGTTAGGATCCCACATTCCCTTGCTATAGCCTTTGCAGTGTTTATATTGTCTCCCGTAACCATTCTTACTGTGATACCAGCTGCTTTACAAACCGCAACTGACTCCTTTACACCAGGACGAACCGGATCTTTAATACCGACGATTCCAATACAAGTATAGCCAGAAACTGGAATAGGATTCTCAGCTGAGAATTCGTTCTCCAGTTCCATATAGGCAAGGCATAGAGTTCGAAGGGCCTCATCGGCGAATTGGGTGATTGTGGCATTGAGATGGTTAATGGATGCTTCATCAAGAGGAACTATTTCACCATTTGAATTGATCACCTTGTCACAGTTAGCCAATACTATTTCTGAAGCGCCTTTAGTGTGCACTCGAAGACCTCCTTCAGGAAGCTCAAGCACCACCCCCATCCTTTTCTTTGTAGAGTTGAATGGTTCAACCTTAACAAGTTTTGAAGCTTGTCTCTCTGCCTGAAAATCCCCACCAAGTGACAAAGCAAACTCCAAGAGAGCAGTCTCGGTAGGTGTTCCCAGTATCTCGCGTTTTCCCTCTTTGTTAACCACTACCTCTCCACCAGTGTTGTTAAAAACAGATTGAAGGAGAAGTTTGACAGCAAAATCTGGGATGTCTGAACACAAGTCCTTACTGGATTTGCTAACATCTTTGACATTCATACAAATGCATGATTTCACAAGAGTCATGTGGTTGGTAGTAAGAGTCCCAGTTTTGTCACTGCAGATACTTGTGGCCGACCCCATAGTCTCACAAGCCGCGAGGTGCCTAACAAGTGCTTTGTCATTCATCATTTTCTTCATGGCAAAAGCAAGGCTCAGAGTCACAGCCAATGGCAGCCCTTCAGGAACAGCAACAACGACAATTGTGACCGCAACAGCAAAGAATTCCAACAGTTCCAATGCATCATCTCCCGACCAGCTCCAGTGAGTCCCTTCACGCAGTTTCCGACTGACCAATCCTTGAATCAAAACTGCAAAAGTCACAACAGAAAAGAAAAGGCCAATCTTCCCAACAAGGGTGGCCACTCCATTCAACTTCACCTGCAAAGGGGTTTCGTCGTCTCCGCTTTCACAAAGCGTCGCCATCAGTTTTCCCCATTGGGTTCTCATCCCTACTGTGGTAACCATCATCTTGCATGATCCATCTTGGACCTTAGTACCAGAAAGAAGAAAAGGGTTTTCAGTACTAACCATTACTGGTTCACTCTCACCAGTTAAACTTGATTCATCAATTAGCACAGAAAATCCCGAAACAAAGAGCCCATCTGCAGGGACTTGGTCACCAATAGAGAGGTGTACTATATCACCAGGAAGCAAGTCGTATATGGACATTTTCTGCCTATATCCATTTCTTGTGACCTGAATAGAAATCTTCTTTTTCTCCTTGTCCAAGTCCTTAAACTGCAAAGATTGGCGATAATCACTTGTTGCTGTCACAACGACAACCAGCAAGATACTTGCAACGATTCCAAGGCCATCATGAGCACCCTTTGGCCAACCTTCCATTGCTATGCCAACAATCAGAGACACAAAAGCACAAACTCCAAGTATCATAAGGGTCATGTCCTGCAGGGCTTCCCAAACGAATATCCAGAAGCCCCGGGTTTGGCTCTCTGTAAACTTGTTGATTCCGAAAATATCTACTCTTCGATTTAGCGATTTGGAGTCAGTGTTTAGCCCGTTATTGATTGATGTCGATAGCTTCTCTGCAATACCATCTACTCCACCATGAAATTTAAGCTTCTTTAGATCATGGCCTTCGACAATAGACCCCAATTCATCAGCACAAATGTCAAAACCGGCGGATTTAACCTCCTCAGGTACAGTGTAGTCACTTGGCTGCACTCCTGCAACACATCATAACATGTCACTAAAAATAACCATTACACATACGTGATGACAAGCATTATCTTCAAACATGATGATGAGTAAAAAAATTATCTTATTGCTGAAGAAATTTACCTTGAATAAATTGAAATGCAGCTTTTGAAACCAAAACAGCAATCCGTAACTTCTCCTATAGAATATAAGACAAACGACAAAGCAATTATAGTAGGGCAAAAGAACTGAAAGAATGGCAGAGGAAATGCTGGTAAAATGTCCTTTTCTCAGAGAAGATTCATGAAATTGTTTAACAATAACAAATCAGTGGCAACTAGAATACACAAATGTAAAGAAGTAAAACTAAAACTATTACAGAGTAGTACTTGTTTACTATGGGAATCATTTTCTCTCAAAAACTACCTATTGGCTTTCCCTCTTGGAACATTCTACAACCTATTCTCATGGCATAATAAGTGTCCATTTTCAGCAGTGAGAAACTTCTGAGATCATTGTCATATAATCATTCACCTATCATAGTTATGCTTAGTACATACTACATATATCACAGTTCTGGTTTTTTAATCAGTGATTAGCTGAAAAGTTTTAAAAAGTGGATGATCAAGAGACTGATTTGTTTATATTTTTCCATCCATTAAAATTCCTCGAACCATCCCTCGATTTTATTTGTCATTCTTGCGTAGGGTCATTCTAATCTTCATAATAATGGTTCTATTTTTATTGGTTCCAAACAAATAAACAACACAAAAATTAATGAAAATATAGAGAACAACAGACACAACACGACTTGATTTTCAAAATTTTTATCCTCATTTGCGTGTAAAAGGGAATAAAAAATTGCCATATATAGGAGGGCTTAAAATTTTGAACTTTTACAATTATATTAAAAATCATCATGCTTTTTTTTTCCTTTTCTTTTTCCTTATGTTGAACTTAAAAACCATCATGCTTTAACATAGCTGAATAGAAACCATTAATCAATTCGTTATTTAATTTTAAAAAGCTGTATTCCCAGTGATGTTTTAACACCATTACTTTATTTCTTATTTTTTTTATCATAACGTGGTACAACGTTTTTAGCAAAGGACATGCAGTTATATATCCATAATATATACATATATATATTATATAATATTGATGGAACCCAAGAATTTGAAAAAGTTAGAGGCACGTCTTAATCTCAAATTTCCAAAGTCAAAACATGACAACCAAAACAATTTACATCAGTGATTGCAGTCTTGGGGATAAATTAACACGTTAATTTGATGTTGTGCTCTAGAAATCGAATATTCTTTAGAAAAAATGAAAACAAAAAGCAAAACAGGACAACACGAATTTCATCAAACAGATTTTTGAGACCTAAAAAATCATTGGGTTCACAAGTGCCTTTCGAAAAAAATACTGTAACAAAAATATTTAAAGTGTAGTTTAAATTTACGAAACAAAGGTACTATGTTTCGCACACGGAAAAAAAATTAAGAAGGAAAGCTAATAAAGTATAAAAAATTAAAAGTTTGTTTAGTTATTTAATTTGTATTGATATGTAATTTAATGTTAAAATTTTTTATTATAATAAAATAATTAAATGTAATTATTTTTTAAATTATTTTATTATAATAAAATTTAAATTTTAAAGTCAAATGTAAAATCGATAGAATGAATGAGAGCTGAATACCTGATTGGTTTTGCGCATAGCAGCAGCTTCATAGCGCTTGGAGAGATTGGCAGTGAATCGAAATCTTCGCTTTGGATTCTTGACAAGCCCACAGACTTGCCTCCATTTCTGTAAAGCCTCGTCCGACGAGTGCTTCGCCTTCACAGCCACAAAATCTTCCTTCAACAAGCTTTCCATTTCATCAATAATATATTCTTCCAAAATTCCTCACTTCTACTACCACTTTATCAATAATAAACTTCTTTTTTACAATCTCAATCGTTTCTTCCTTACGTAGATAGCTAGTTCCAGATGATGACTATATATATACGTGTGTGTGTGTGTGTGTATATATATATATATATATTCAAGAAACCGAACTTGCCCAGAAATCTCTCTTGTAATCTTCAAGAAAAGAAGCTTTTTCTCTCTCTCTCTCTCTCTCTTCTTTGGTATTGTCAGAGAAAAGCATAAAAACGTTTCTGATACGCGTTTATTGTACTTTATCTGACGTTAAATGATGTGAAGTTTCCGCCCCATTTCGCAAGGAATAGTAATTTGGTTTGATGTTGACCGTACTAAACAAGAGACAACAACAAAAAAAAAAAAGAAGGAAAAAGGGAACCAAAAAGTATGGTATGGGTTTGGAGGCTAATTTATTATTGTTTATTTTCTGGTATGTTTTGTGCTTTTGGTGCTTCTGAAGCTTGGAATTCGGAAGGAGAAGAGGAGAGAATAGAGATCCGAACGTTATGGTTGGGGTGGGGATATTACTTGGTAATAATTATAGATAATAATTATAGATAGCCCCATGTAACGGTCTTGCTTTGCTCCTCATATTGGAACTACATGTGCGGGTCAACGTCACCACCTCCTTGATATTTTGAATTTTGTTCTTTCATTTTAGTCAGGTTATTATTATTATTATTATTTTTTTTTTTTTTTTTTTTTGGGAATTGCTCTGGTAAGCACCTAAAAAATAAAATATCAAAAAAGTTTTATTTTCCGTCAGACGATCTACGCTAAAAACTGTTAATTTCGTATACTTTTTAATTTAATTTAATTTTGATTAGATTCAACAGTTTGAAACGGGTCTCATTGATAAGAAGATTCTAACAAAGAAATTCTTTTTTTATTTTAGAACCATGAGACTTTTTTTAGATTTGAATCATAATTCATCATTTTTGTTATAGTTTTTTTCTTATAAAAATTTAAATTTTTATTCAAAATTTTTATTTAGACATGTGAAAAATACATCCCTAATAATTATGGGTTTACTTGAAATTTTATATGCACTTTTAAGCTAAAAATGTAATTAAAAATGACTAATAGTTGATTGTGATAATTGGAATTTGTTTTAGTTTCTTCATCGCAATGAGTAGTGCTACAACAAGAAGCATTTTTTTTAGATAAATTGTATTTCAAAATACATAAATACAAATGCTAATATTGATATAAATGACCTAGTAATACAAGCATAATTTAACGCCCTAACTATTGACCGGTTTCCATCACTTATCATGAAAGCGGGAGGGGAGGAAAACATGCACTAAGCTCCTGCAACGAGAGGCTGATACGGGAAACGACCACACATATGGCTCTTTAAAAATACATCTCTATAATCGATGGACAACTCTGATCAATCGAGTTTAAGATACTTATAGACCAAAAGTCACTCAAGATAATGAGCATTTTGGTTTTGCCATTTGTCATTTTTTATATTTTAACAAAGTACTATTCTTAAAGTAATTAATGATAGTAATTGTTTAATTTTACAGTAAATTTACATTTAACTATGTAATAATTGATCATTGATTATGGCATGTGATAGTAAGAAATGTGCTTCATTTGAAGAGGGGGAAAGTAAAAAAAAAAAAAAAATGCTCTCTTAATATATTAAAAAAAAGGAACTTATATGATAGGAGCACAACAAATAAATTACGATAATTTTTATTTTCAGTCATATATATAAAAAATTATTTATTTTGTATATTTTTTAAATTTAATGTGATATTGTTTATATTTAAGAGTAAAAATTTAACACTATTAATGGACTGTTTGGTTGGTAGATTTGTATTCTGATTCAAATAATGATTCATAGTTCATTATAATATTTTTTCTCATAAAAAATACACATAAATAAAAAATAATTATAAATTCATAAATTAAACGTCCAATTAAATACCTTTAAAAAAAAAAAAAAAAAAACTGGACACGGTCCGAAAAGAAAAAAACGCGGAGAAAGAAGTGAGTGGGGCGGAACGCGTCAACTCGTTCATGTCATGGAAAAAAAAAAAAAAAAAAAAGGAATGATGGCACAATATACGACAAAAAGAGTGAGATCTTTTGTGACGATACCGCGTCGTTTGGAATTAAATGCAGCATGTCATTAGCAAAAACAAAAAAGAAGAGAAAATTACAAAAACCAAAAAGAAAGTGCGAGCATGTCTGCTCTTTTAAATAGTCTAAGGTAAGATTTGAAACAGAAAAAAAAAAAGGGTAGCCTTTTGATCACCTTCTTTTTAATAAATGATTAGAATTTTTAAATTTTAGTCAAATAGTGAAACTTTTTTTTCTTTTGTAAACATTTTTTTTATTGTAGTTAATCAGTGATAAATTATAATTTTTTTTAAAAGAAATGATAAACTATAGTTAATTAATTATAATTCATGATTAATTAATGGTAAATTATTATTAATTAATGATAAATAATTATAAATTAAAGTTAATAAAAAATAAATCACATAATTAATCACTAAATTGATCATTTTTCTAATTTATTAAATTTCGGTCATATACTAAAAAGGTAATATTTATGGTAAGTAAGGTTTTTTTTTTTTTTTTTGTTTGATACTCTACTGGTAAGTATTGTTGTTTTAACTATTGGATTAATTTTTAATAGTCAGATCTGGGATTAGACGCAGTTCGTCGCACTTTAAATTTTTAATATGAACATTCACATATCTAACTGATAAAAACTTAATTTATCGGTTAAAATTACAATACCTACCAGTAGGATAGAAAAAGACTTCCCCACCATAAAAATTTGTCTACTAAAAATACCTATGAAAAAGGGGCCATTTACCCCTAAATCCCCTGGAAAAGTTGCATTACATAAAGACACTGTTTGTTATAATTTTTTTTTTAAATTTTATGTGATTTTAACTAGATTTAATAATTAAAACATATAATATTACTATGACGTCTTACGTGGAGTTCGGATATTTCATTTTAGCAGCTTTAAAGTGCTCTTACCATGAGTGTGGTAGCTTAGATTTAAAGTAAACTTTTAGTTGTGTTACTTATGGTTAAAAATTTGAGTGTTGAGTGATTCTATTTGAAAATCTTATAAATGAGATGACTTTTTTTTATGAAGGAGTAGAGTCCGCTGTTACGAACACCCATATCAACGTCAAATATTGGATTTAAGCCTTAATTAAATAAATAATAAAAAAATAAGGGAGAAAGAGAGAAATATGTCAAGACTTAAGATGAATTAAAATTAATAGGTCAATAGTTTACCTAAGTTAATAAATAAGCTAAATTACTATTTTCGTCCATAACTTATCTGGTTATGAACCATAACTTGACAAGTTTGTCAATAACTTATCTAGTTATGAACTATAACTTGACAAGTTATGACCTATTAATTTCTATAACTAAAAATTGGCCTATATACTTCCTTAAACTTTTCATATTGATATATTTTCTACTATTTCTGAAAAAACAATAGTCGATTACATGACTTACATAACCTTTTCTTTTACCTATAAATCGTTCCCCACTATTTGATCTCAAGGATTTGGATTCAACGTCAAGCAATTTTACAACTCCATTATATGAATTTTGAAAAAGAATAATGGTATTTGGTCTCTTTGAAAGTACTTTCAGTTTTTTTTTTCCTTTTATATATATATATATATATTTTTTTTTTTTTTTTGCTAGAAAAAATAAATTAGACCCCACGCAATCTAGATTAAATATAATAGAAAAACATGCCTATTACAATGACAATGACACTTGTGCTTTATTAATTACAATGATTACAATGACACCCTTCTTACCAAACCTAATAACATCAATACCTTTACTCTCAAACTCTATTAAATTTACTTGAGAAGGGTCAAAACTAACCTTTTTCATATTGACTTTATTTATTTATTATTTATTTTTAATAAAAAAAGGTGTTGTGATATTTTTAAAAGAGTTAATGTAAAAATATGTTAACAAATGTTAATGTGTTTAACTTTTTGTATTATATTTTTTTGTCTTTAAAGTATTAAGTTTAATTTAAGTTTCATTTTTGTTTTATTATTAAGATAAAATTGTCCAATTTACTTTATTATTTAATTAAATTTCATTATAATATTTATTTTAATTGGTCCTAATAATGTCCCAAATATTAAGTGGCTTTTTAATTTAATATGTTATTTTAGTGGATGGAAAGCATTACTAAAACAAAAGACTTTTAGGAAATAAATTAAAAAAATAATTATTTTAATTAAAGTGAAAGTTATAGTTACAAATGTGTAAAATTAACTAAACTCAGTTTTTATGCTAAATAAGGGTAAGTCATTCCAAACATTAACTTTAGAAACATTTTTCCAACACCTTGAGGAATTAAAAACTCGAATAAACGAGTTGAACGGGACCTAAATTTCAAATTGAAAAGTCATCCTGCAGCTACTGATATTCCTAAAATAATCAAAAGCACGTATAAACTTCTTGTGTCATGGCATAATGGTTCTATATTGTACTTTGCTACATATGCAATCTCCTTTTCATTTCAAAAATGCAGGACGCGTTTGAAATTCGTTCTAAAATAATTTTGTTTTTTGTATGAAAATGAAAATAAAAATGTTTTCAATCTCAGACATAAATCATTTTTAAAAATGCGTTTGGTAATTTTATAAAGAGATTGTTTTCAGTATAAAAAAAAACTCATTAATGTCTCTTTCTCTCTCTCTACTCGAGAGAGGAGAAAACGAAAATAAAAAATAAAAAAACGACTAAAAGTCGTTTTTCATTTCTCTCTCATTTTACACTAAACTAAAAAATCGTTTTCATTTACGTTTTTTGTCTTTATTGAACCAAACGCCGTTTTAGAAATTTTTTTTTTTAAAAAACGTGAAAAATAAAAACAGAATCAATTCTAAACACGGCCGCAGTTTCTTTTGTGTATTTGCTAGAAAAAATAATTAAAGTATTGGTTTCCTTGAAAAGTTTGTATTGAAGAAGTATTGTATAAGACTGAAAATTCCATTTCCTTAGAATATACGTCAAGGTCCTCAATTTTCACCATCCATGTCTAGCACATTGATCACTCACGCATATTAAGGTCATTCTATTGTGGAATATTTTCTGTTCAATTTACATCTAGAAATGTGGTGAGAGTCAATATTGATCAAACCTCCGGTAATTGGCAATAAATTTCCAACAACAGTCAAGGCGTATACTATTTTGAAACGTTCTCTTCTTCGATTTTGCATTCATGCTTTGAACAAAAGCAATTTGAACTCACAATCTATGGCCTTTTCTATTGTGGGAACCTCTAAAAAAACTCAGCCGTCAAAATATCATATTTTGATCGTTAGATTAATTTTTCAACAGTTAAATCTGTAGAACGAGCAATTCTATATAGTGCACTGTAAATTTTTAATACGAACGTGTACAAATTTAACTGTTGAAAACTTAATCCAACAATTAAATTAGAGTGTTCTACTAATATATTTTTTTTCTTACCGTAAAGACTCCTATATTCTAGAGATCTAATAGACCAATTCATCTTTCATCAGTACTTTAGAGCCCGTTTAGTTTACTGATTTGAGTTTTTAATTTGAGTTGATATGTGATTTTATGTAAGAACTTTTTACTGTAACAAAAAAGTTAAATGTGATTGTTTCTTAGAGTTTTTTACTATAGTAAAATATAAATTTTAAACTCGAATCAGTGAAATATACAGGTTTAAATTTGCTTTATACTGAAATTTTACTTTTCAGAAATATCGTCCACGGCAAGCCAAATTGGAAATTGAGCAGTTGACTGCTACGTTTGGTTTCTTTATGGTATTTTATATTTTATTAATCAAGTAGTTTTCTTTTTCCTTTTATCTATAATTTATAAGGCATGAAATTATAATTATAATTTATAATTTATGTCACTCTGATGATGATCAATAATAACAATAACTACTAGAAAAATCTTATGTTGGAGCGACACTGAAGAAAATAATTAAGAGCAGTTTTACATTTCAAAGTACTGTTTTTTATTCATTAATCATTATTACTATACCCAACAATTAAAGGGACGCCCTCCTGCTTAAAAAAAAAAAAAGCACAAAAAAGTAAAATAAAACGACAGCCAGGGCATGTTTCAGTAAACGGGGCCACATACGAAGCTACGTCGTTTGATGAGATAAACGGTTGGAAACTCTCGCGTCAGCTGAAGAGAATCACAGCCGTCAAATCAAAGCACAAAATTGAAAAATACCAATTCCGAATCCACCACGAAAATAGAGACTCACACAGTCTCCCACCATTTCCACAGCACCACTCCCCTGAAATCGCACAGATCTTCTCTCTCTCTCTCTCTCCTTCCTCTGCGAAGATGAGCAAGGGACCGGGACTCTTCTCGGAAATCGGCAAGAAAGCCAAGGGTAATTTTCTCTTCCCCACGATTTATCGGAGCTTCCAGGTCGCATTCCAGTTCTGTTTCCTCACGATTCGATTTTTTTGGTTTGTGAAAACTGATCGTTCTCGCTTTGGATTTAGATCTTCTCACGAGGGATTACACCTCCGATCAGAAATTCTCTGTCTCCACCTACAGCGATGCCGGCGTGGTAAGAAAGCTTTCCTTTAATCTGAGTTTTGCTCAAAATTTGAATTTGAATAGATTCATTTCTGCTGCCCCAATGTTTTCTTTGAATTGTGTAATGTTTTCTGTTGATTGAATCAATGCTTGGATCAATTGCTAGGGTTTTCTGATGGCCTCTTTTTTATGTTCCTGATTATTTGGTCGTAATTTGCGATATTTTAATTTTAGAAAAAAAAACTATATTTTTAAAGTGGGTATTTTTTTCACTCTTATGGGTATAAAATGCCATTATTTTGGGGGTGTTTGCCAAAGCCCAAAATGACTACCCTACAAAGTGAGGTTCGTGAAAAATTCTTTTTTTAGTTTTACACTACTCACTCGGTTGCTCAGTGTAAAATCGTTTTTTGAAAGAATTTTTTCGAAAAAAAGCTTTCTATTGAAGTCATTTTTAAAAAGATATACGAAACGTCGAAATCTGTGCTGTGATTTACTTTTTTTTATGAGAAACTTATCTACTATACTTAAAGTTTATGTGTCTTCAACTTGTGAAAACAATGCATGAGCCTATTGAGATTAATTTGGCGATCTGCATAGGTGATGGTTTATGTCCGAGAAACCTTTGAATTACTCCATTTCGATTACTTGATTCAAACGGTTCTAGTTGGATTATGAATCTGATTATAATTTAATTTCAATTCCAATTTATGTCACTCTCCACAGTTGAAAGAATTAAAAGGACTTACTTTTCATTGTCCAAACTCCAATAAACAGATTTCAAAATCATTTGGTGATTTCTGTTTCACGTTTTTGTTTTTGTTTTTTTTACCTCACTAAAACGATGGATAAAAGAAAAGTAATCAGGTAGAAGAGCTTTGACATTATCAACTGATACTCCTTTAAAATTCTGTCATTTTTTAGCTACAAGTGTGATTTTTGGAACTCTATCCGTGGTGAGAGTGCTTTTTTCCTTCCCATTTGCTTGGACGCATTGTTTGGGGTTTAAAAGTAGACAACCAATTTGATCTCAAAGCTTCTTTGTTCGGGATGCAATTTGGTGTATTCAGTTTTTGCAGATATTTCCTGTGGTGATGTTTTCCGATAAATGGGTTAGGAAGTACATTTTGCAGCTTGTTCATTTAATTAGTTCATATTAGTAAAAAGAAAACTATGCTTTTGAAGATAGCATATAGGCGTATTACCTTTTTTATTTTTTAAACAGCTAGAAGGAAGACTGAACTGATAATTGCTGCCAAATTTCAATTCTTGTCAACAATATTTTCTACTGTTGTAATTTTTTATTTGGAATGTAGTGCATCACATAGTATAGAACTTAGAGTTCAATTCTGGATTATTAATTGTTGTAACCTACTTGTTTCTGTATGGTGATTTTATATTTCTCTGTTTCGGATCGGTTAGATGTTTGGAAGTGGTAGAAACCTGACACATTCTTTTATTTTTATTTTTATTTTTTATGACAAATAACATGAAACCTTTTTGTTTTGCTTTTTGTCTTTTTTCTCATATAGGCCCTCACATCAACAGCAGTGAAGAAGGGAGGACTCTCAATTGGGGACGTCGCAGCAATATACAAGTTCAAGAACACTGTTTTTGATGTGAAAGTTGACACGGACTCAAATGTATGTCCTTTCTTTTGTTGAAGATGCTAAAATGAAGCAACTTTCTTGTTTTGATAAGCTTGATCTAACTTCTCTCTTTGTGGCAGATCTCAACAACTGTCACGGTCACCGAGATCTTGCCATCCACAAAGACTATTGCTTCTGCCAAACTACCTGACTATAATTCTGGCAAGGTACCAAGGTTTGGCATCTTTAGGCAATGAAATTCTTTTCTTGCAGGACGTTGTCTTAAACGTGCATCTACGTTTTTGTGCTTGCTGTGTTTTGTGTAGTTGGAGGTTCAGTACTTTCATGATCATGCGGCCTTTTCAACAGCCGTCACTGTGAACCAATCTCCATTGCTTGATGTCTCAGCCACCATTGGTACGCCAGCCATTGCCTTTGGTGCAGAAGCGGGTTATGACACCACTTCCAGCAATTTTACCAAGTACAATGCCGGTATTAGTGTAACGAAGCCGGATTCATCTGCATCAATAATTCTGTAAGCTCTCATGTTCTACTTTTTATCAAATCCAATGATTTTAACTCCATAATTTCAATGAATTTAGTACTTCAATACTAGGTCCCTTACCTTCTCTCTTTTTCTGTAGGGGTGACAAGGGAGACAGTATCAGAGCATCTTATGTGCAGTATCTGGATCAATTAAAGAAAATTGCGGCAGTTGGAGAGATCACTAGAAGATTTTCCACAAATGAGAACACTTTCACTGTGGGTGGCTCATATGCCGTTGACCGTCTAACGCTCATCAAAGCAAAGCTGAACAACCACGCGAAGCTGGGGGCTGTCCTCCAGCATGAGGTTGTACCAAAGTCACTGCTGACAATCTCCGGTGAGATTGACACCAAGGCCTTGGAAAAGAATCCCAAGTTCGGGTTGGCTATTGCGCTCAAGCCTTGAGTGTTGTGCTCACCGCAGTGATGCATTTTGGGCACTAATACCTTGTTCAATTTTTTACGGTGGCTCTTGAAGGGATAACTCGAATAAGTAGTTCCACAGACAAAATTTGGTTCTAGACGACTGTGGATGGTTTGATTTGATGATTCAACTGTTTCTATTGTTATCTTTTCTTTCTGGAATTGTAAGGTAGGTGGTGGAGGCATTTTGACGCTAGCCCATTATATTCTCCTTATGTTGAGGACGCCTTAGTCGTTTTGATTGATGGAATTTTTTTTTCCCAATTCCCAAATGGAGCTTATACTTGACAAAAATCATGTCTTACTATCTATTTCGATGCAGCATAAACAAGTTCCGATAGTGTTCTAGCTGCAAAAGTATAAAATCTTTGCTGTGTTTTCTTTAAAGCGTGTTGGTCTATTCCAAAGTGAAATTTCTACTACTGGTAGAAGCCCTAAAGCCGAATTTATCATTGGTAACTCTGCAGCTGACATATTTTATGTTGTTTATATAAATTATTTTCCAAAATTATAGTAGCAGCATATTTTTAAAACTAAATTAAATTTGAAGACATTTAAAGTAAATAGTAGTAAAAAGTTTTTTCTTATCTCGTACGTGGTAAAAAATAAAATTTTAATTTATTACTTTTTACTTAAAATAATTTAAACATATGCTATTTACTTTTAATTATTTATTGTAAATATGTTATTTACTTCTTTCACCCTTATAATATATATATAAATATATATATATATATATATATATATATTTGCCCAAACTGTATCAAGAGCAACTCAATATTTTGTTCATCAATTGGAGATTAGCAAGTGTGTTATTTTCCCTCTTCACACCGAAAAAAGAAAAGATTAGAAGTTGTTAATAGCCTTGGTTGTTGAATTAGCTAAAGTGTGAACAGCCTAATAATTTCCATTTTTTACCAAGAAAGAAAGAAAAGCATCCTCACAACATAACAGCATCTTCAAGGCATAAAAAAGTGTTTCACCAAGCTTGGGACGGAATCTGGATCGTTAATTGCCAACACTGTTTTTAAAGCGGAGGTAAACGAAAATACAGTATATTCGGCTCCTTGGAAGTGATTTTGTATAAAAACAAGAACATCTACTTAATTCAAGAAACACAAATCAATTACATGCTTAAAAACTTGAATTAAAAATAGGTTTGGCAAGCATATAAAGCAATATCAATGACGATTTGTACCAAGTAGTGCAATCTTATTGAATTATGATCGAATGACTTTAGACAGCGGCGAATCACGCGTAAGACGTAATGACAGTACGATCACCTTTGAACAAAAATCATCCCAGAAAGACTGAAAGAAAATAATGGGCAAATGATTTTATTTTTTTTTGTATGAAAATAAAAATGAAAATGTTTTTAATTTTAGACAGAAATTATTTTCAGTATAAAAAAATTCATTAATGTCTCTCTTTCTCTCTCTTGCTCGAGAGAGGAGAAAATGAAAACAGAAAATAAAAAATGACTAAAAGTCATTTTTTTATTTCTCTCATTTTACACTAAGTTAAAAAATTATCTTCATTTCTGTTTTTTTTTTATCTTTATTGCGCCAAATGCCATTTTAAAAATATTTTAATTTTTTCTTTCTCAAAAAATGTGAAAAATAAAAATGAGATCAGTTCCAAACACGCCCAATATGATTGTTACATAATACCATCAATGTCTGCTAGTCTAGCAAGTGAAAACTAGCATGTCCATAAAAATGGCATGAAAAACTTCTTTTCACAACTCAAATCACAAATTTAAATTTTTATTACAATATTTTTTCTCATAAAAATTAAAATTCAACTTGCTTACTACAATATTCTCTTGTATAAATTTACTTTTTAACTCAAATTCTCTTACTCAAATTGTAAAAAGAACGACCGGATCATCAAATAAAAAATGTCTTTGTCTCCCTTGTGAAGCTTTATATTTCAAAATAACAATTGGGCCAACAAAACAAGTTCACAGAATTATCATAAACCAATGTGCTACTTCTTGGCTAAGATGATTATTACCAAATGTAGAACTCAAAGCTAATCCATTTTTCCCCTAACAACAGCCTTACTCAATTGCAACCTCCCCCAAAAGCACAGAGACAATACACTAGTAAACAGTCTAAAATCATCATGTCCAACATTTTTAAAATAATTTTATTTTCAATATAAAAAAAAAAATTTAAAAATTATGTTAAAACCCAATTAAAAAATGTGTTTAATTAATTAATTAAGAAATTATTTTGAATATAATAAAAAAAATAAAATTGTGTTTAATTATAATTATTAATTTAAATATTATAATATTATTGATAAGTATTAAAAAATTAAAATAAAACAAAAAAATAACTTTTAATTATTTTTTAATTCTTTCAAAAAATCATTTTTATTATTTTTTGTTCTCATTTTTATTTTTATTTTTAAAATATTTACTAAACAAAGCAATATGTAGACCACACAAACACAGTTTACAAATATTTTCATTTTCGTGTCTTAAAAAATGTACAAAAAACAAGTAAAAATTAATTCCAATCGCAACCCTCATTTCTTGCAATACCGCATTGCTGAAGCCACAAAAATAGAAACCACAGACAATCTATAGAGTTGAAAATAAAACTACAAAGTTTACTAATCAATGAGGAAATGAAAAAGAACTAAGGCCCGTTCATTTCGCTAATTCGAGTTTAGAATTTGAGTTTTGTTACATATAAAATTTTCACAAACAATCACATCTAATTTTTTTACTACAGTAAAAAGTTCTCACATAAAATCACATCTTAACTCGAATTAAAAACTCGAATAGCGAACTAAACGGGCCCTAAGCATCCCAAATAAATATTTCTCAAAATATAAAATATTGCAGTAAATTAGCACAAAATCCACGTCTCAAAGAGAACCCTAAACGTTGAGATCCAAAACTTGACACCCAAAAAGAGCACCAAATAAACACCAACCAAAAACCATAGATTAAACGAAAAGTACCTTTCAAATTTTCTTCGTAACAAAACTCTAAAGAACAGTGAAACTAAAAAAAAAAAAAAAAAACAGAGATAGAGATCTAAATATAAAATCTTGAACAAAAACATTAAAAAAAAACCTAATTCGTTCAATCGACGCTCTGCATAATATCCTCGGCGGTGAACTTGGTGCCCTTGTCCTTGTCGGCGGCGGCGCGGCCCTTGGCCTTGCGGTCGAGGAGGGACTTCCGGTCCTTGTCTAGCCTGAGCTTGGTGATCACAACCTTCGAGGGGTTGATTCCGACGTTGACTGTCGATCCGTTGACCTTCTCGCGGGTAATTCGCTCAATGTGGATCACCCATTTGCGACGGTAGACCTGGACGACCTTGCCCTCGCGGCCCTTGTAGGTCCCACGCACCACCTGGACCTCGTCGTCCTTGCGGACCGGCATGGAGCGGACGTTGTACTTGGATCGGAGGTCGCCGGAGAGAGGCGCGCTCATCAGCACACGGCGGACGCTCGACGGCGCCGTGAAGTGGGCCTTCCGGCTCTTGCGGCGGGAGCTCGAGACCCTCGGGTTGAACTTCATTTTTGCTCTCCTAGGGTTTCACTATATTCTATTGTTTCTACTAGTGTTGTCTATTTATACGTGTTACATAAATTGGATTGTAGGGGACTAAAGTGTAATTTTGAATTTGTCAAAATAATAAGTAATTTAAAATATCTAATTGGAAGAAAATTAACATTCAATGTTTTTTTGAGGAAATAAACATTCGATGTTTTTATTATATAAGAAAACATTCGATTTTTTTGGGATTAAATCTTTTATAAGAGAATGTATGATGTAACACCTACATAATTTAGATGAGAGCCAGTTTGACATTGTTGTATTATTGAAAATAAATGTTGTAGTTGTACTATTAGTAAAAATTATTATAATTAGAAGGTTGTAAGTGTTTTATAATTCTTTTAACGTTGTTACTAGTACTAAAAGTAGAATTTTAGGTCTTTTGTAATATTAATATGGAGATATACAATAATTAAAAATTATGTTTATATTAATTTTTTTTTTATAATATTAAAATCAAGATTCCTAATTTTTTACACCAAAATTTGACAAATATAATATTATATTATCTCTTAAAAAAATTTAAAAATACATTAATTTTATTAAAAAATTACAATAATAAATCATGGTTTGCCATTTTATTTTAATATATAACTATTAAAAATATTTGAGTAAGATTTAACATATAATATTTATTAAAGAATTTAAAATGCTTTATTAGATATTATAAATATTTTTTATTTGTTATATAAATAAATAAAATCGATAGATTGTGAATTATGTTTTTCTTATTATAGATATTTTAATAAATTTGAAGTAATAATGGCAAAAGTAGTTATGCAAAATAACCTCTAACATACTTCTTAAATTATGTTGTTGGTCAATAATTTTTAGAATCTGTTGGGTAAAATTAAGGTTTACCAATCGCTCTAATATGTTATAAATTCTTTAAGAATCTATAAGCAACCCCTAAAAGTGATATCTACTCAAAATTATAATTAGGATTATCATTTGTTCATTATTTTAGTACGGTTCTTATTTTTGCTATCCCTCAAACTTTTCAGTTTTAGCAAGAAGCTCCTTAAATTCTTAATTTTGACAATTTACCACAAGACCTTTCTTAATTGTTGCATTGTGTCCTATTTTGTTTGCTTCCTATTAAATTGTGGACTTAAAATTAGAAGATTTGGATAAAGGTTTGAATTAGATTTTAAAAATGTTGTGTTAGAGAAGAAATTTCCACCGCTCACATGAGGCGCATTGTGCTTTCCGTCACTAATTTAACGAAAAGTATTAGAATCTTACCTTAACTAGAAATATTGACACGATTCACTAAATAAGATAAAGGTAATCCTCTCCTAATAAGCCGATTTTACTAGGTTGAGTTAGGCTCAATATCCATTAATTTATGTAAATTTGTATCAGAGCAGACCCAATTTTATAATGTTGTGTCCCCCAATATCGACTTATTCACAGCGGTTTGGCATGGTCCACGCTGTGCGTGAGGGGGACGTATTAAAATCTCACATTGGCTGAAAATATTGACATAATCTACTTAATAAGGAGAGAGTAATCCTCTCATAGTAAGTCAATTTTGCTAGGTTGAGTTAGACCTAATATCTTTTGATTTTTGTAAAAGAACGCTGAGTGGCAACATTCCAACAGTTTAGAAAGTTCAACTGATAAATTTACCATTGTGGGGTTAAGTTGTCAAAAGCTTAAAAGTTGTGGAATACAGTTCTCAGCATTTCAAGAATTCATGACTTCTATATCTATCCTTATTTTTCTGACATTTGTGTGAGTGCATCAACAGATATGTAGACGGCTTATCTTCCAAAAATGGTTGTGCTCTTGAAGAATCACACATGGAACCTTGTTCTAACACCCACCAAGAGGAAAATAGTCGAATTCAAGTAAGTGTATTAAATCAAGAGAAGGCCAGATGGAACTGCTGCGTGTTAGAAGCTTAGAGGTCCGGTTGGTAGCCAAAGGGCTACCATCACACCATTGGTTGACTTTTCTGAAACTTTTAGTCCACGAGTTAAGTAAAATAAATCACCAAAACAATTGTTCTTGTAATTATTGTTTTCACAAAGAATTAGAGCATCAGAAAACTAGACCTTACTCTGCCTTTCTTTAATGGAATTCTAAATGAAGATGTGAATATGCTTCAACCGCCGGGGCTTGAGCATAAAGGAGGAGATAAGGCTTATGTGGCCTAAAGCAAGTTGTGTTTATAGAGTTGTGCATGTTTCTAGTTTTACATTTTTTTGGCCCCGAACAATGTCAAGAATAGAGAGTACTACCATATTCAACCTGAAGGCGTTTACAATTACAATAGGCAATTAGGCATTTGCCCTTGACTCTATATTTTTGTTCTTCAAAAACTGATTAGCAGTTATTTTCTTGATTGAACAGATTGGCAACTATTAAGTAGCCTATGACGTTGAATTGGTGTTCAGCATTAATTCTGGTGTACGAATTTTGGTGTTGCCATTTCTAACAAGAAGCTAAAGAAATGAAATATGGAATTCATTACAATTCTAGGGGTATCATATAATCTGGATTATTCTCATGAATATGGATTGCATCCATACTTCACAAACACAGTCGAGCAGTAAAATTATCCTCCGCCGCTGACAAACAGACTTTGACGAAACCACCGGAAAGGTTGTCACCCCAAGTCAGCAAACAAGGAGGTTCGGACCCAAGAGATCCATCATCTTGGTCTGCCTCTTCAAAGCCAACACCTGAAACGATGGGCTATCTCCTTAACTTTCTATCTAACAGGTCTCTTTGGGGGAAAAAAAAATACACGAGGCTCGTTAATTAAGCCATGTCAGAATCGTGAGACTAGCCTGGTCGCTGGCTACTAAAGCATTTCTCAACATAAAAAATTCATGGCTTTAAAAAATGTTTAACTCAGCTTAGGAAGCTAAAGCCCCAGTGATTGATTGCAACACTGTTTACAATAGAGTGGCAGGAAAATGAAAACACAAATCCAATGACGCCTTTAGGTAGAGGTATTTTCATATGACATGGCTTTGACAAGGATGCAATCTGATAGAATTGTGATTTTGACTTTAGAATTGTGATTTTGACTTTAGAATTGTGATTTTGACTTTAGAATTGTGATTTTCACTTGGAATAACATCATGATCACAATACAGCAAACTTAAATAAGTGACTGACTTCAGCCACGCAAGAATAAGAAAGAAGAAGAAGAACCACTTAAAAGCATAAGCTTTAGAAAAATGTCCAAATTAACCTAACATGGGTTCTTCAAGTCCAACGGAAGAGCCACCCAAAAGCCAAATTTCCATTTGAAAATGACAATTAAAACGAAACCAATACATGTTTACATCAGTGCTTGGAAGCGTACAATTTCAAAATGATTTTGTGCAATAAAACAGTCACCCAAAAAAGTGAAATCCCATCTTTGGAACAACTACTATGAGACTCAATACCAGGCAACAAATGCAACCAAACAAAGAAGACCGATCACAACAAAATCCTAATGCCGTAAAAAGTAGAGATAATGCAACAAGTTAATAATGTAATCACGACATTCATTTAGTACCACATTGCTTAATCCACAATAACTCATCCCAAAATTAATGAGAAACCATAAACAAGATATATAATTGAACATAAAAATGAGGAATTGAAAAAGAGCTAAATCATCCGAAACAGTTATTTCCAGAAATATAGAATATTGCATTAAAACAGCACAAAATCCACGTCTCAGAGGGATCCAACACCAGATACCCTCAAGAGCATCATAATAAACACCAAAAAGCACAAATTAAACGAAAAATACCTTTTTCAGTTCTTCTCAGTAACAAAGACCTAAACAAGAGTAAAAACCTAACTCCTTCAATCGACGCTCTGCATGATGTCCTCGGCGGTGAACTTGGTGCCCTTGTCCTTGTCGGCGGCGGCGCGGCCCTTGGCCTTGCGGTCGAGGAGCGACTTCCGGTCCTTGTCGAGCCTGAGCTTGGTGATCACGACCTTCGAGGGGTTGATTCCGACGTTGACGGTCGATCCGTTGACCTTCTCGCGGGTGATTCGCTCGATGTGGATCACCCACTTGCGGCGGTAGACCTGGACGACCTTGCCCTCGCGGCCCTTGTAGGTCCCACGCACGACCTGGACCTCGTCGTCCTTGCGGACCGGCATCGAGCGGACGTTGTACTTGGAGCGGAGGTCGCCGGAGAGGGGCGCACTCATCAGCACGCGGCGGACGCTCGACGGCGCCGTGAAGTGGGCCTTCCGGCTCTTGCGGCGTGAGCTCGAGACCCTTGGGTTGTACTTCATTTTCGCTTGGTGATGGTGGCGGCTCTGCTAGGGTTTTGCGTGTGTGTGTGTGCGACGGCAAGTGCAGAGGAAGCGTTTTTCCTATGGTTTCTCTGCCTTTATATCTGATGATTAGGAACTAGGGTTTCAGTTTTTTTTTTTTTTTTTTTTTTTTTTTTTTTTTTTTTTTTTTTTTGTGAGTGTTACTTATTAGATATGGGCTGGGACCATTATCAAGCCCAATTTTAAAATTTAAAGGGCTCAGGTTTGTGGACTTGGGCCAGGATATTTTCCAATGAGGCCTTTTAGGGTAGGGAAAAGGAAGTGAAGATGAATGAGAAGGAACAATACTACTATCGAGAAATCTGAATGGATAATTGACTAGTTGATTCTTTAACCTTTTTCTTGATAATTTATTTTTTAAACTTTGAAATTTATTGTAATGTTGGTTAAATTGAAAATAAAGTTAAAAATTTAAATGGTATTTTTCACGTGAGTGTATAATGAAGGTAATTAATATTTTTTTACATCGAATTGATCCTCATATACGCATCATGAGTGAATTTTTTTTTTTTTTTTTTTAAATTGGGAGTTAACCATTTTGGGAGAAAAATTTGGGGGTCTCAATTTTAAAATTTTTTTCATTCATGTTGTGTATGAAGGGTTCAATTCAATGTAAAAGGCTAGAATTATCCTTATTAAACACTTATGTGGTAGATACAGTATAAATTTTTAACTTCATTTTCAATTTGACCGACATTGCAATAAATTTCAGAGTTTAAGGGGTAAATTGCCAAGAAAAAAGTTAAGAGACCAATTTGCTAAACTCGTAAAGTTGAGAGGGTGTCCATGGTTATTGATTTTTACCTTTTACTTTGATTAATACCTTTTTAGTTAAGTAACTATATTACTAAAAGAGTACTAATCAAGAGTAAAGGGTAAATTTAACAATTATCTTTACTATATTATTCTTTGAGAAAAATACACCACTTTTCTCCTGAAGATTTAGAGGACGTTTGGTTCATAGATTCAGAACCATTCTTGTTTTACGTCTGTTTTTTGTGAGAGAAAAACACTGTATAGAACCACGAATCATGATTCATAATCAGGGACGAATACAGGAAATAAACGTCCCCTTAGAGTCTCATTTAGGCATAAAAATGGAACAGATGACAACCTATATTTCAGTGATATTCAATACAATCTACATGAAGAAGTAATGTGACTTTTGTGGAATATTCAAACCTAATTTACACATAAAAGTGATATACTAGACTTTAAAAGTGATATCTGTCTAATTTATGGGGTCCATTATCCCAAAATATGCATAAATTTTTTTTCTTTTTTTTTAAAGCAATCTATAGCAAAAATATTTACTATTTAGAATTTCTCAGAGAAATTCCAGAAGTCATTCTCTTTCCTTTTTTTTTTCTCTGCTCCCGCCATTGCCACTATCCCTGTAGATGTCACAATACAACCCTACATTTGTGATGGAGAACACGGTCCTCACCGCCGAATCACCTGAGATGAAGATCTCTTATATACGAGAGAAGACTGAGATCTTATTATTTTCATAACTCAAGTTACAATTCAAGTTATACTGTTACAGTATTTTCTCTCATAAAAATTTAAATTCAACATTTTTACTACAGTATTTATCTCTCACATGCACAACCTAAATTCTTAACTTGAGTTGTGAAACAAATCTCTCTCACACAGACGCAAGAGAAGTTGATGTCCAAGGCCAATGTTCGTTTATTTATTTATTTATTTATGGTCGTTTATTTATTAATGATTTCCAGTTGTCGATTGCCTGCCATAATTTTCCGGTATTGTAGCTGACAGCAGACTACCCTGAAGTATCACGGTAGGATACTGTTCGTGGCACGATTGGTGAGCGCTTAGCAAGTTGCTAGAATTTTTGGTATCACAGCCAACAATTACACATGTACCACAAGGCTATCGTTGATAGAATTTTGGTATAACAACGCACTATTCCTAAGAGCCCAATAGCATAAGTGTTTGTTGTCAATGGCTACGTGAGTTGTTGTAGTATGATACTATCAAAGACATTTGTGTTATTTACATGTTCGTGTGGCATCTTTTGCAAATATATATTTTTTGATATAAAAATCAAATCCAACACTTCTGAATGTGACATTTGTGTAAAGTCATAAGGCATCTTGTAGTGGTCCAAATCAGGGATTCAGGATTTCTAATATTCGTTTAAATTTCTTAACTTATCTCATTTTTTGATTTAAATATGCTATTAGGCCTCTAAAAAGCTCTCACAAATAATCACATATAACTTTTTTGTTACAGTAAAAAACTCTCACATAAAGTCACATCTCAACTCGAATTAAAAACTCGAATCAACGAATTAAATGAGCCTTTAATGTGATTTTGCGATTGCTAGTGAGTAGTAGTGAGGCTTGATGGTTGTCAATTGGTTACCACCGTTGCCTGCTTAGGTTGTTGTGTACTTTTGTGTTTACTGTTTACCAACTTAAATTCTGCATATGTGATGTAGCGAAAACTTAATTAAAGGAGAAAAGCGAAACAATAAAATAAAGTGGATAGATCAATTAGCCAGTTAATTTACACCAAATATCAGAAAAACCATTTAAAAAATTGTTAATTCACATAGAATACTGAATTAGGAAGAAAATTGAGAGAAAACTCAAAATTTTTACTCAATTGAACTGACTTTTATTGTAAGAAGGCGTCTAAATATATAGGTAAAACAGAAATTAAAAACTAACCTATTCGAAAATAAAGAAATAGTGGTTCTATTCACGCACTCCTTTTTATTTTCCACACCCCATTTATATAAAATTTTCTCATAATAAAATGAACTCACATAAAATGACAAAAAAAGAAAAAGAAAAATTCAACATGCTTAATTATGTGATTAAATTTTATTGTAAAAAGAATCTAATGATAGTTTTTCTTTTTATTATTTTTATTTTGCATCTTTTTTCTTTTATAAATTGTTATGATTTTTTTGTTTTGTTTTGGTTTTGTTTTTGTTTCGTTTTTTGATTTGCTTATTTTGTTTACTGTTTTGAATAAATTTTTATTTTTTCTTTCGCTTTGTATTTTTTGCTCATATCTCAATTCACATCGTAAATTCGTTCAGTACTTATTTTATTTTTTTTACTTATTTTTGAGTTGTTTTGTTGTCTATTTTATTTATTTTTTCTTAATTGTTTCTTTTTTCCTTTTTCTTTGTTTACTTATGAAAAAAGATTTTATACCCAAAGCTTCAATATAACAAAAAAAAAGAGATATAGAAATGATAATATTAAAGTAAAAAATTAAAATGAAATGGCTGAAAATTAAAAAGTTTATGAAAATAGTTAGGGGTAATGTTAAAATAATAAACGTGTACCACCCATAAAGAAATAATTAAAAAATATAAAAAATTTTTCAAAAAGGAAATTTTAAAAAATTTTAGATGGAAAGAAGAATTGAAACTACTAGACACAAGAAAAAAGGAAACACAATCATAATTAGAATCGAAATTTCCTAAGTCAGCATATTACAGTAACAAAATTATTAAAAATGAAAAAAGATGCCATTTTGAGGGCCTAAATAATGTAATTTGCTTGAAAAGCGTCTCACATCATGACAAAGCGACGAGTTTTGTCCGTTGAGCCGTTTCCACTTAGAAAACACATATTTTTTTGTTTAAATTCAACATCGCCAAAAGACTTCATGAAAACCAGAATTTTTGTCTTATTTAGCTTTGCAATGTTCCCAACGCACCATAAAAGTGAGATCCTTCTGCACCACATTAATATTCTCATATGATTAGAAAAAAGGAAAAAGAAATTGCGTATGATATGTCTTCTGTTTTTACTGGAATATAATGTATTTTCAGTTTATAAAGAAAATACATGCACCGTAGAAGTAATGCTTTTATAACTTTTTTTAGGATATTTATTTCACAACAAAAAGAGTATCTAGATCAAGATAAATTAAGATATGTTTATGCGTGTTGACGTGAAAGTAAACTATCTTTTGGCAAATTATTCCCTTATTTTAAATTTTTTTTTTTTTTGCTAAATAGAGATTTCATTCAACCCACAACAGAGCCAAAAACGACAACAAGAGACAAAAAACGGCAACAAGGAACAAAAGGAAACACTCCGAGAGAGAAAAAAAAAATCGAGAGGAAACAACGAAGAAGGAAAAAAAAAGGAACAAACTACAACTAAGCCGAAGACAAGGAAAGAATTGAGGCCCAAAACTAGGGGAACAACTCCTCAATATCCTTGAAAATAGAAAGGAAGATGGAATCTTGAGACAAGAAACCAAAAACAAGGGTAGTCCTGCTCCACTCGGCCAAGTTATGGCTCGCAAAGTTGCACGATCTATTAATTCAGGAGAAGTCTGTGATTCAAACGTTTAAATCATGTGATTCGAACTATTTTCGATTTACGTGAATTTTTTGTGAAAGAAAATACTGTACCGAACCATGAATCATGATTCGAATCAGGGAACGAATCCCTCTACCAAACATTAGTATTATTTAGAGAGACCAAGGACAATTAGTAGCGGAGGCAGTAACACTTAAGATAGCAAGAGCACTATCACTTTCAATGATATTGTTGAGAAGGCTGAGTTGGAGGAAGCTTGAAGGGCGAAGCGAATAGCCTCCATCTCTGCCACTAAGGGATCTTTAGTTTTGATCAGAGAAGTAGTAGCCATAACTATGTTTCCATTCGAGTCCCGGCCAACAACAACAACCGCCGAAGTGGACTGACCTACTGAACAGTCCACATTAAACTCTTTAGAAGCTTCAAAACGGATGATCGACGAGGTAAGAAGCTCATGGTACTCTTGGTATTGCTTCTGAACCTGCCTGAAATAATGCAGCAGGTTGACTTCTAAACCTTAGAACACCAAATCGTTCCTAGCCTTCTAAATCACCTCTAATGCACTCGAGGTGAAAAAGAGGAACTCCGTCGATTGAGGAAGGGTCGAGTCTCCAAACAAGGCAAGCTTCAAGAAGTCCTTTATGGATTCAAGGTTAAGATGTTCGGGTCATAAGCTCCAGGGAGACATGAACAAGATCAGCCTCGAAAAGCTGCAATACAAA